TTTGACAACATTTCAGGAAAGAAAACTGCAATCTTCACTTCGGGTATCTGAAAACTCCCACTTCCTTGGTCTTCTGACCATTCACTTACCCCACCTTGTCTTGGAGCTGTGTTCACATGTCCCCTGTGTCTGTTATTAATACACTGCAAGTTTGCTGTGCCTGTGCACCTGCCTCATCACTAATCTGTGATAAACTTAGAGGTTGGGAAGTAGTATTATAGACCCTGTGAGGAAAAATGCTTTCCTGCTGTCTAGGAAGAGAGACATAAAACAAAATGATTTTTATAAGAAAAAATAGGAGCTATTGAGAAACAAAGATTTTGAGACAATCAAAAGAGTTATGAGCAAGATGGGGAAAGATTGAATATGTAAGCAGCTGAAAAGAAAAAAAATGCAGAGAAATAAAGAGGAATGTGGAGATTGAGGATTTGTGATTTCTAAGTGATTTTAAGGCTAAAGTAATAACTTAATTTTTAAATAACTGATTACCAATGCACAGCTAAGCCTCCTAAATTTTATTCCTATCTTATTTTCAAATGAGAACAAAAAACAGAGAGAGGTAGCAAGGCATGAAAGCAAGTTGGCAGCAAAACTATAATTAAAATAGCAAGCAGCATGTTTGTAATTAAAATATACATCTACATATGCACATATGTATGTACATATGTATATTCACACAAATGCAGTGCCTTTAACATTATGAAGTATTAAAGAAATGTGAGGCGTATGCCAACCTTGTATTTTACCCACTGGGCTCTTGATAGATGATAAAAAGCCAGCTAAATAAAAAAGAAATTAAAAAGTTCTTACAAGAAGACTATGCTTCTTGGTGTATAAACATCTGTGAGTCGTAGAGACTGATGTAGTTACAGGCCAGGCATTTTTGACCAGGCAGCTATTAGAAATTCAGATTGGTACAACATTTCTTTCAATAGTTAGAATCATAAAAAATAAAATAAAAATTAGAATTGATTTTCAATAGATTAGTTGATTAAATAGTAAATAACATAATATATACTATGTATTAAAATTTAAACATAATAAATAGACTCGTGGAATGGCAATGTTACCCTATCAGTAGACCTACTATGATAAATATAAATTCTTTTCAATACGCTAAGTACTGTGGCAGTTATACTTGATAGAGTAATTAATTTCTTCAAGTTAGTAATACTACAAATACTTCTTATATTACTTTTTATTTTTTAACAAACTAAATTCCATTTAAATTCCTCATGGACCCCCCCCCCAATCAGATTCGACCTTTTACCGACTTACCACCTACCTTGCTTCATTTATTATCAACTTTTCATAAATGTTTAACAACAGTTTAATGTTTGATTGAGTCAGGATCTAAATAAGGATCCATACATGACAATTACTTTTAAGTTATTTTAAGACTCCAAATATTTTTTTGTGCAATTTGTTTGTTAAATGAATTGTGTCATGTGTCATGTTGAGAATTCCACAGTCCTCTTCCTTTTCTCTTAACTGTATTCCTGGAATACAAGTCTTTCAAAATGCATCTCTGTTGTCCAAATAAAAATTGTGTTAACAATATACTCCCTATTATTAAAATTATGCAATTGGTTTGGTGATGTAGGTCACATTTTTTTCCAAAATGTACTGTTTTCTCTTTTAATAAGAGAAAGCAGGCAAGCTCTCAATGTCTATGATAGTCTTGGCACATCTTATTAAATAAAAAAAAAATACCAGGAATTTTATTTCCTTAAAAAAAATCACAAAACCTTCATTTCTCTTTTCATCAACTTGAATATGTTTCAAGTGCATTTTGTGGGACTTTTCTGATAAACTATTTTATCCTCTGTAATAATTCAAGCAAAGAGATTACCTTGAAGAAACCTTGTTATGTTTACAATTTTAAATAACTAAAATTATGTTTTTATTACATGAGAAGGTAAAAAAAATGCAGAGATTCCATGTGTATCTTGGAGATGATGGCATGTTAGGTGTACTTGGTGTTATTTACAGTGGTCCTTTAGAAGAATTTAGTTATGATGGACACAGTTAGGAAGTATTCCCGTGGGAATGACAGCGAGAGTAAGGCAGCCCAAATAAGAGAAGCACAATTAATGCTTGGGTGATGGTTAAGAACTACTCTTGAGTACAAAATGCATGAGGTGACAAAGGTAGAACATAGGGTGCAAATGTAAAGAAGCACTATAGAACTCTTTGAATGCTAGAATATACTTTTCAGTGCCACCAATCTTCTTTATGTTTTAGGAAATTTATGGTTTATCTCTTTGCACTTTTCTTCCTTCACCTATAACATCAGGAGATAAGACTAGATACAGTTTGTGTTCCTTTGTGGTTCTAATTGTCCCATTCTATATAATGAGTTTGGTAAGAGTGAAACCTTTCAACTCCTCTATTTAAGAGGCACTGTGGAAAGTGTTGAAAGCTTGAGTTAGTGTGATAAACCTGGGAATTGAAAGAGAACAAAGATGCAAAAGGATTTGTATCGGTCCAAACAGCATGACTAGATATTGATTGCTCATCTGTAACAATTGAAAAGGAAAAGGAAAAAGTCGGTTCTTGTGATTTCAAGTCCATATCACTGAAGAAATTTTGCTTCCATGAATAGAAATAAAGTTATTAATGGAAGGAACAGAAGATAAAAGAAAGCAAGTAGTGATTTTTGGTGTGAGTTTAAAGATCATGAACACATCTTTTATGTAGTTGATATTTGTGGCTGGAAGTATGTAGATGAGGTTATTGCTAAAGGGTAACATTTTAGTTCAGATCTTTGTAGGAAATAAATTACTAAGTGAAAGAATGCATAAAAGTGTTTGAGGAAAGAAGGAATACCCTTTGGGAGGAAAAGAGTTGGGAAACAAGATTTGTTGAAGGAAAAAAGGACACAAGAATGTAATAGACAATCAAGTGAGCTTGGCTGTCTATGAAAAGGAGAGATTCCAAAAATAGAAGAGTCACGTGGTCAAATTCAAACATAAATTTGGAAAAACTCTGGTATTCTTCAGAAATGCAAGAGAAGCAGGAAAGAAGCTAAATGTAAAGAAATTAAAGTAAGAGAACTTGTTTAGAACAAAAATAAGGCAGCAAATACTGTATTCTTTCAAAAGAAATCAGAAAACACATATGGGCAATAAAATCAAGATGATTTTGACTAAATTACTTAACCTCGCTGGACTTGGTTTTTCCTTTATTTCTAGTTCTATACTAGGAATTACATTATGGTATTTCCTTAAAAACATGGAGCAAAATCAATGAAGTAGTCTCATTTCCCTGAAAGGATATATGCTGCTTGATTATTATCTTTATTACATACATTTGTGTTCAAATTGGAAAGTATAAGACAAGAAGTAGTCACTAAACTTTAAATGGTTCTCTTATTCTTGGACTGACAAGTTAACTGAGAAATTCACAAACAATCTTTCCTCTCTTTGAGTCCCTTTAAAAAAAAAACTTTAAATTTTAAATGAATATCTCATTGCATTGGTATAGTTTCTTTTTTTTCTTTTTTTATAATTTATTCTAATTTGTTATATATGACAGCAGAATGCATTTCAATTCATATTACACATATATAGAACATTTTTTTCAACAATTCTTAATAGCTAAACTGTGGAACCAACCTATATGTTCTTCAATAGATGAATGAATAAAGAAAATGTGGTGTATATACACAATGGAATATTACATGGCATTAAAAGAGAATAAAATCATAGCATTTGCAGGTAAATGGATGGAGTTGGAGAATATAATGCTAATAAGCCAATCCCCCAAAACCAAATGCTGAATGTTTTCTCTGATATAAAGATGCTGATTCATAATAGGGAATGGCAAGGGTAGGGGGAAGTATGGGAGGAATAGATGATCTCTAGATAGGGTAAAGGGGGAGGGAGGGGAAGGGAGGAGGCATGGGGGTGGGAAAGGCAGGTAAATGGGATGGACATCATTACTCTAAGTACATGTATGAAGACATGAATGGTGAGACAGTTTATTTTTTACTTTTCACTTATTCTGGTATTACTATTACTGAGATAGTTTGGCCAGTTATAACTAGATGTTCAGTGTGGTTAAAATACAGAATGTATTCTATGCAAATAACCATGTATATAACATGACAAATGTAAAAAATAAGTGTTCAATGTACCCGAAGACTTCCTCTATGAGGACGTCTGTGTTACCCGAGACTTGCTCAGAGGACTAATAATTAATTTAGGAAACAGATCCTGATCCTAAGCCATCTTTTTCTTCACTAAAGCGCTCCTCGCTGCTGGGCAACAAAGTAACTGGATCAATTGCAGTAAGGCTCCATGTGACCCTTGTCACCCTGATGCCAACACTCCAGTGTTGGTCCTGTTTCTTTGAACACTAAAATTCATCAACTCTTAATAACTAAAAGACAGTTTAACTTAATATACAAATTTGCATTTGTTTCATGAAGTGTTATTCTTCCAAACTTGGCTTACTTCTTTCTTTCTTATATGTCTTTGAATGAAGATTTTGATTTAAAAAATCATTAAGAAAGGCAACTCAAGAGTGCCCAAAATTGTTACCAGTATTTGTTAAGCTTGTTTTTCAAGAATTTAAATACACTTACATTTCAACTTTTGGGTAGACCCTTCTTTAGAGAAAAATCTTTTACTGTACATTTCCTTTAAAAATTTTTGTCTAGTAGAACAATAACTTATTACACACAAAGCCGCTTGGATTTCATAAGATGCAATAATACTATTAAGAATATTAATACTATCACACAATCATAATTTTAAAGTTAATAATGCCACATCTTATTACCAGGGTGGTACTGCATTATTTCATAGTGCATTCATAGTCCAAGGTCATGGTGGTTATGTTGCATTACCATAGTTTTCTTATTAAGTTATTCTTTATACATGTTCATATGTGTTCCAATTGCATTTCATGAACTCATAGTTTTCTTATAAGTTTGTGCTTTCTTTCCATGTTCAAAGAATCTCTTTAATTCAATTTCTCTGTTTCTCCTCATACAGTCTGACAGCCAGATATGCAACTCAGTCTAATCACAGTGGAATTGCAACCAGTCAAAAAAAGCCTACTAGGTCAGTTAATATCTCTAATTTATTGCTTGTTAGTGATATTCAAGTAAATACCCAGTGATATTTTGTCCTATCACCATAAATTTTTTTAAACATTAGCACAGTTCCAAATGCAAAGTTTAGAGCACTGAATTATTCTGAATGGATTACCATATAGTCTCAGGAGCAAGCATGTGTTGTTAGAGATTAAATGGTTTTGGCTTCTTTTATTTCATTTTTGTTATACACTATAAATTGCAATGAAGTCTAGGTTCTAGGCTTAAGTAAGTCAAGAAAATAATTTCTTTGTTGGCCCCTATGATTCTTTCTGGGTGACAATAATCTGGAAATTATACCAGATTGCAGTTGCTTGTTGAGATAGGTGTGTATTAATTATTGCACATTTTGAAGTGGAACTGAGAAACACTGGCAGATTTGGGTGGGGAAGTTAGCATCAGATTGTTCCTCTATCCATAATAGTTTAATTTTCTGCTTCTTTATGATGTGTGTATTTTAGAGACACATAATAATAAATGGCAGTATAATATGTACTGTTTGGAAAATGACGATACATAAGAATGTGTTGGAAAAGTTTGTTTTAAAAGAAAATATTATGTTGCTGAAGGTGTGATGGTAGTATGAAGCCACTGAGTCAAGCCATAGCTAAAGTATTTTGTACCTCTGAGTAGTCTAAGAGTTTGTGCAACTCCTCAGTCCCGGGGAAGTGGCCAGGGTGGTATATTAGCCCCTGCTTCATTACCGAATCCTAGTATATGATACTTGACCTCAAGGACTTCTGATGCCTTGACCTGAGGTAGGTGCTTTCTCCTTTGCCTTGGTTTTCTATATCCTTTTCCACAGTAGTTAAATGATCTGGAGAGACAAATCCTAAGAAGTATTTAATTAAAACTTACAATGAATGATATAAATTACGATGTGCAAGAAACCAGTGACCTGCCATGTACAATGGGCATTTTTATTATCCCCTCTAACACTTGGACATGTAAGATGTATTTTAAGTACTTTGTTTTAATAGAACATTTCTCTTTCAGGTCCTTTCTCTCTCTCTTCCCCCCCCCCTTTTTTTTCTTCATCTCATTTCCCTTTTTATTACTTTGATGAATGATCCGGAGGCTCTGGCTGCCTGTCAAATTAGGGTAATGAGAAGAGCAAATGTACTTTTTAATTTGTTTTAATTTGTTCTTCTGAGGACTGAAAAGCACTTGGCTTCATGGGTCACGGTAAAGATTAAAAGGCATTTTAATTGCTTTCTACAAATGGGTCAAGTTTCATTGCAAGAAGGGCAAATTTTGTGACTAAATCTGTTTACACATGTAAGTTTGGAGTAGGCTTTCTAAGACTATGGTTATATCTACAAGACTTGTTCACAAATTTATTATGATTGGGACGTTTGGCCAAATTAATTAGTTTAGTCCCATCTGCAGAGTGAAGTCACTGATACTCCTCATGTCTGCAGTTAGTGTGCTACACTTGCAAACCCTTGTAGATCTATTTGAGCAAAAGTTTAATGCTGGAATCATTTGGAAAAGATTCTAATCTGTATATGACATAACTTCTTATTAGCAAAATAGCTAAAGGGAATATTTATTAGCCATTTGTATCTAAACTGTAAAAAACTTAAAATTTTGAAACTATTGACTGTTCCAAGAAATGAACACTTTTTGAAGCTACTATTTGCGTTTTCTTGATGTTCATTTCATTTTACAGTTACTGAAAGTACTATAAAAGTATTTATACTTTGTAAGGATTTTATTTCTTAAATAATCTACAGAAATAAAATAGGTAGTATTATAAAGATGAATTAAAATTTAAGTATTGTAATAACTGGATTTAGAAATTTTGACATATAACAGATAAAATGCTCTGTTATTTTTAAGATTTTATAAAAGAAAACTGTTAAAATTTTGTATTGTATCGATAGATTCTGGGTAGTTTGTTCTTTTTCTTTTCCAATAGGAATTTTCAGAGTAGTACATAGTCATGTTCACAAGGTGGCAGCACCTACAAGCAGAGATGTCGGGAACCTTCAATAATGTTTTCTAAATAGACCTTAGTGTCAACACTAGTTCTTAATTTCTAGTTTTTAATTTATATGGATCGGGTTTAATATAAATGTGAAATATATGATAGTAATAAACAATAAAAATTAGGCACAGTTTATGAAATAATCAAGAGTTGGAGTTCTAAAGGGGAAAAACAGTGAAATAAATTATCTCAACTTATATTTAATTATAGTTCAAATACAATAGGTAGGTGACAACCTCTTGTCAAACTGCCTTTGATTATAAGATAGATCATGTGTATTTTTTCACGTCTTGTTTTTTCACATACAAAGAGTAGCTCAGCCTGCTGTCATAAAGCTATTCTAAGCTGTCATTTTCCTCCTAATATTGATTTCCTTCCTAGACCTGAATCTTTTTTGGTCACCTCTCCTGTATGATCAGGAGCTAAAGCCTAGTTGTGTATTTTTGACAAGTGAATGAAAGCCTTTTTTGTGAGGCAGCCCAGTCAAATATAATTGAACCCATGACCTTAGTACTGGCACCATACTTAGAATAGCATAGCTAACTAGTTTAGATAGTCAAAACACAATTCCTGTTTGCCATTTGTACAGTTACTTTCCTCTTGTTACTAATTTACAAGACTTGGAATACAGCTACCTGAGATAAACAAATACCACATGTATTAAAAGAATAAGTTAAACAGCTGCAAATAGCTGATTAATATGCCGAGAGTCTAAAAGTGAAGTGTTACCATTTCCCTTGCTTTTCCTATAATTATTTAAGTACTTGGAAGGCAAAATTTTATTCATCAAGAATGGAGTAAGTTTGACTATTTTAGTGAAAGGTCACCTTATTTTAACTGTTCTACATTATTACTGGTCTTTGGGGGCATGCTTATTGAAAAGTGAAACAAGATTTGTCTGATAATTTCTGACTCTGTTTTAGCTATTTGTCACTTAAACCACCATTTTCTGCAAACTCGATTTTAGAAAATCCTGAACTGTATTTTTTCCATTAACTCTTCCCTGCTCAGAATCTCATGCTCCTTAGTTTTTGAAATGCGGGTTGTGATGTAATTTTTCTTCTGCTATTTCAGGCTTCCAGGACCCTCTAGGGTGCCAGCTGCAGGCAGCAGCAGCAAAGTCCAGGGAGCCTCCAATTTAAATAGAAGAAGTCAGAGCTTTAACAGCATTGACAAAAACAAGCCTCCAAATTATGCAAATGGAAATGAAAAAGGTAAGTGTTCATCTGATTTGCCATCAAGGACCCAGTCTACACAACTCATGAGTTAACCCACTAAATTTAACATTTGAGGAGTGATATAGCCATTGGATTGGAAATACAATCAGTGGAGTTATCTTATATTTCCTAACTCGAAATAGCCCTCCTGAATTTCAGTTTTCTTCAAGGCTTTCCTTATCTGAGAAGTATATTATGGAATGAACTTGTTCATTTTAAAGTGGTTAATTAGATACCTGAGAATAAAATCTGTTTCAGAAGAATATCTCCTCCCAGATGCATAAAAAAGCATTTTTATGTCTTTCAAGTACTATGAAAATTCATCCTGAAGTTATAAAGCTATATTTTATTCAAATTTTTGGTTTCAGTTTATATAAGTGCTATAAGTGGGCAGCTAAAGTTTGAACATCTTATGTATTGAGATATAATTATGATAGGTCTGTACTTTTGAAAGTATAGGTCTGTACTTTTGAAAGAAGCAGAATAAAGTTACCTCAGTTTTCCCCAACTTATTCATGTTTATTGTTTCTTGAATTATCAACTCATAAAATCTTTATGAAAAAAATGACAGTGGAATTCTATGTTAAAGGCTATCTCTCTGGGTGGATATAGATTATGAATAATAATGATGATAATAATAATAATAATAAGCTTTCTCTTATTCAGACATAAATAAAGATTATTTATAAATCATCTATATGTCACCCAGTTCCCTGTGATCTTCAAAGTGTGTGTTTAAAGAAGGGTTGGATTGATGCTGCCACTGTGGAAGAGGAAGTGATAGTGATTTGATAGAGGAAAGTTCCATCTGAATCACAAGGAAATTAGGAACCTGTACTGTGGTAATGTGAGTGAGTGCTGGAATGACCAGGATGTTCTGTTGGATTTCAGAACAGTGTTTTTGGACCAATGGAAGTTTAAACTTCTTTTTTTGGTTTTGGGTCCTACGTGGAACAGCACGTAAAATTAAAAAGTAAATGATATGTTTAATCAGAAGAACACATGGCAAATTTGCTTTGAATAATTCAACCAAATAGCAAATCTTTTGCACTGTTTAGAAATTATAAATTTCTTCAGATAGGTGAATAATTAGAGAATTTTCTCTTATTCGAATGAAAATTGACAGGATCTATGTACCAGATACCCCTTTTTAAAAATATTTATTTATTTATTTATTATAAGTAGGTATATATGACAGCAGAATGCATTTTGATTTTATTGCACACAATTGCAGCACAACTTTTCATTTCTCTGGTTGTTCACAATGTAGCATTGCACCATATGTGCAGTGTTTATCTTATCCTCCAACTAAAACATAATTAGGCAGACTGTAAATACTTCAGAGCAGAGCATTGTCTCCTGATCTCTGCAATATCACCAGCTCTTGGATAAAAAAAAATAAAATAGCATAGATGTTTGGGGCTTGCCTTTAAGACACAGAATAAAGCTTTTGGTTTAAGATTCTGAGAAATATTACAGAAGAAGTACAGTTTTTCTGGGGGAGAAAGGAAAAGATATTTTCTCATGGAAAAATTATTTTTCCTCATTCCATGACCTTCCTAGAAAGTTTCTGTAACATATAACAAGAAGTACTAGCATCTTGAATTTCTAGGAGAAACTAACAATCTTACAAATAAATATGTGAATATGCTGATTGGACTTCTATGTGTCCATTTAAACAACCTGATACTATAGGTTATAATAAAAAATCCAAAAATAGATCAGCAATGACATTTTCCATGGCCATTCCATTTCATGTCCAGGAGTAGAGCAAAATCAGAACGTGGCAATATTTATAATAACCACAAGGTGGAAACAGACATCATATGATATGTGGTCTTTCATCACATAAAAAAAATGTGAAAATTCTCTAGATACATATCTACAACAAAAGAACAAGAGTTTTTTTCTGGTAAATTAACCATTAATTTTAATTCTAAATAATTTAATATAAAGTGTGTGATCTTATATCCAGGTATTTATAGTACATCAAATGTAAGCATTAAATGTCTATAAACTGCCAATAATAACTTTAAATCATGTTATGTGATATAATACAGCTGAGGTTTTTTTTAAACATGTAACATGGCATTGCTGTTAAATGTAGAGTTACTTTATATCTACAGAACCAATATCATTGCTTCCTAATTAATCTTATGTTCTTATATTTTGTCATTTTATTTATTTATTATTTAAACATTTATTTTTTAGTTGTAGATGGAAACAATACCTTTATTTTATTTTTATGTAGTGCTGAGGATCGAACCCAGTGGCTCACACATGTTTGGCAAGCGCTCTACCTCTGAGCCACAACCCCAGCCCCTATATTTTGTCATTTTAAATTATAGGAACAAACAAAATTATCATAAATATTACATAAAAAAATAAATAATTACCCTGCATTCGAACAGCACTTTTTTATTAAAATGTTTGATTTAAGCTTTTTGACATGAGATTGGTAGTTGTAGCATAACATACAAAAATATAAAATTTCATGTGTCAATTTAAAAAATAAAAATAAATTGAAAATACAAGTTTCCATCTGCTGGTAAATTGATCTTTGCCACAAAATAGTTTGCTTATATATCTTAGGTGTCACCAAAAAAAGTGAAAGTTGAAAAAGAATTTTAATAGGTTACAGTATTATAATAATAGAAATCAAAAAGTACTAACTTGAATATTCTATTTGTTTTTCCTCCTTGCTTACTAGAAAATGGAACATTTAAGCTTAGTAAATTAACATATTTTATTAAGAATTAATCAAATAATCTGTAATGTGCTCCCTGAATGCTTTCTACTTTAGAAATATACTTTCTATGTTCTTTAACAAGTCTTGGGTGATGAGTTGTATAAATCAATTCAGGACTATCTAGAATTTGTAATGGATAGTAAGGGTTTATTCCCAATTTTTAAAAAATTTCATTTCTTATTTAAGAAAAACAAGCTGTTGAAAACAACAACAACAAAAAGTTTCTCATTTGTGTGATTTGCAAAAAATAAACTAGCTTATTTGCAAGTGGTATGACATCTAATGGAAATCAGTAGAGAATCACAAACTGCACTTCAAAAGATACATCTAATATCATTTTCATAATAAGGCAATTCTAAAAATGTGCTCATTTTACCATTTCACCAAATGAATTAAAATATCAGTGCACACTGTCATATATTATCACTCACAGGGAAGGCTAAAGTAGAAATGTTACAATACAATACCATGCCATGTCACCATTCTATTGAAGTGGAATGTGGGAACATATTTCTCAGAACAAATGGTGAAATGAAGATACCATCTTTTGTAAAGGTTTTCTTTTGAGAGTCCCTCAGTTTCTTCTGATGATCTGCCATTCAGAAAGTGACAATGAATAATAACATTCTGACACCAGCATTTAATCGTTTCTTATGTTCTCTCTGAGTCCTCTAGATAGATACATGCTCTAAAGAAAATCCAAATACCTGCTCTCTGGTTATCAGATCTTGTGAAAACTATGCCTTGGTTCATTTGGACATATACTGTGCATGCCTGAAACCACCTTGAGAAATTATTCTGATTCTACAAAAAAAAAATGTGTAATAAATTGAAAAAAGTCAAATGGTTTACTATTATTAGGGATGTAAGTATCCCTAGCTTTATTTGGAACCCAGTGTCTGAATTATGCTGTGAATATGTGTGGTTTGGCAGAGTTCCTTAGAGAAGAGGTGTTCTTCCATGTTGCTAAGGAACATGCCACCTCACCAGAGGGAATGCTGTCATCCTTGCATAGTTTCTCCCAAGTGATTCTTAACATTGAACCTATACAACTGCTCAAGAGGAGGGCTCCTTTCCCTTTTCCTGGATTCTAATGAAGCTTCTTCTGGTGTGGAAGCCTTTACTTTATTTTACACTCACGTAGGATTTAATATGGTTGATGCCAAGGATTTGGCAAGATTTTTATTCAATGACATAAAATCTATTAGAGTTCATGTGTGTTTTGCAAGGGTCATGGAAATTTCAGCTGCACATTGTCAGCTACAACATACACATGTAACTCATAATCACTTTTTTTCTGTTTTTTAATTACCTTGGTTTTACTATAATGTTCAAGGACTGTACTGTTTTATTTGCTGTTCAAGATAATGTAAATGTGAAATTTTGGTTATTTTATTATTTTATGATAGTTTAATTTTGTGTTTTACCCTAACACTTTGTCTTATTAATATTGTACAAGCATAAAATACAGTGTCAATATCATTTCAGAGATATGAGGGGTTTTCAAAAGTTAATACAACTAGGTACACATATCAGGTAATATGAACAAATAATTTGGGGTATTAGGTTATTTGTTTGCATGTACAGTGCACACATCTTGAGGTGCTTTCATTTTATATGTGCCTGCACATAATTACATACTTTTTTGAAACTGACTGGTGAATGGAAGCAGCCCTAAATTTCACAATACTCCACAAAGTGGCACTCTGACTTTGCAAATGGTAAAATAAAATCAAGTGCAGAGTGGATGGCACCTCCACAACCCTACTATAGCATCCTGTTTCTGTTGAACATAAAATCCATGACTGAGGCATTTTGCAAGCAATCATTTATGCAAAGTAGTGTTGGTAACAAGACTATTTAGATTTGAATGCTCCTTTTTCAACTTTTTAAACATTTTCGAAAGCCATTTTGATATGTTATTGTGAACCAAATTGATATTTGATATGTTAATTACTTGGCAAATTCTTTGCCTTAGCTGCTGTACTGAATCTTTTCTTTGTTCCCACAATGATCTGTGATGCTTATGGTGACCTGTATTCAACAGGGGCCCTCTGCATCACTTGGTACAATGTCTGCTATGCAGGGAATACTTTAAGCAAAATGGTTCTATTGTCATTGTTGCTGTTGTCACATTGAGGATTTCTGAGTCAAATGTGAGTTTTATTCCATCTAAGCAACATACTTAGTGTCATAAAGAGAAATTCACTGATTGAGGATGGTCCCTGTGTCCTCTCTCAGGCTGATC